ACAAAGCATGTCCAGACGCCCACGACCGTGGGACACTGATCTATGTGGACGATGTCCTTTTGAGGCAGCCAACACTGGACTTACACTTGGCTGAGATCGACAATGTTCTGAATCAACTGACTACTGCTGGTGCTAAAATCTCACTGTCGAAATGCCAGTGGTGCAGGACCAAGGTGGACTACGTTGGCCTACTAGTAGGTCCAGATGGAGTACAACCATAATTGACTCGCACCCAAGGCCTAGACAATCTAAAAGTCCCCACCAATCTCAGAGAACTACAAAGTTTTCTGGGCGTGTGTAATTACTCACGCCAATTCATAGAGAACTATGCAGACCTTGTGAAACCACTGACTGAACTCTTAAAGAAAGATATCCCATTTGTCTGGACTGATAACCAACAGCAGGCAATGAACGCTCTCAGGGACAGACTCAAGTCAGCCCCATGTCTAGTCTATCCAGACTACAACAAAGAGTTTCACCTGGAAGTGGGCTTTTCAGCTCACTGCATGAGTGCAGGTCAGTACGCATGACAAAGACAAGCGTGTGGTGGCCTATGCCAGTAAGACAATGGCAGGCCCCGAATTAAAGTTCTCAGACTGTGAGAAAGCTCTACTGACCACTGTGTGGGCAGTTAAACACTTCTCCAGTTACATCGGTGGACAAAAAATCATTGTTGAAACACAACACCAGCCAGTAACTTTCCGGAATAGCCAACACATCAGAGCTGGTGTTGTGACGAACTCGCGGGTAGCCACGTGGCTCATGGCGCTTCAAAGTTTTGACCTAGACATCTGCTACGGACAAAACAAGAAATCACATTTGGGCACCGACCTGGCACTCTGCCAGGAATGTACACAAGATGTACCAGCCACCCAACCGCCAGCTGTGGAAAAACCCTCAGTAAATGAGGACCCAAATCACTACTACTTTGATGGCAATATCTGCAAAGATATGGCAACATTGTACGTGGATGGATGCTCATTCCACCACGAACAAACCTGCAAACCAGGTGATGGAGGGATTCTCCTCCAAGACCAAGAAGAGGTCACTTTTAGCCATAAATTAAGCTCTCAGACTTCTCAGTACGCTGAGATAGCAGGAATCCTAATAGCTCTCCAGATGGCAGTAAAACGCCTCATCCAAACGCTAGTCATCTGCACAGACTCTAATTACGCTCGACTTAGTTTCTTGTGTCATCTCGCTCGGTGGAAATAGAACGGCTTTCTCACAAGCAACAAGAAAGTGGTCCAACACAAAGAGCTTTTCATGGCATGTGATCACTTGGTGACATCACATGACCTACAAGTCTACTAGAAAAAGGTTCCAGGACATTCAAGAGTCCTAGGCGATGACAAGTGGTATGATGACCTTGCAGACTTCCTAGCCAAGGACAGAGCCGTGGACGGCCCTCCGTGGTCCTTTGACCCCTCCTGGCTGCTCGCAACTCTGTCAGTACAACCTACAGCCGAGGTAATGGCAGTCACATATGCAAAGGCTGCAGCCAAGCCGGCTGTCAACACAGTCTCTGTACAACCCATGCTGACTGACCCAGACATCATCCAACTACAGAAGTCAGATCCTGCAATAAACTCGATGATGCTGTACTTTACTGACCCAGAGAAAAACACTCGATCCGAAGCCGACCTGGATTCCAATCCAGACCTTAAAGTCCTCTTTCAGCTGCACAAACAGCTAAAACTACTCAAGGGCATCCTAACTTTTGCTCATGGACCGACGTCCTCACCCGTGTTCGTGGTCCCCCATCACCACAGGGGGGTGATGTTAGTTCATGCGCATGACCTCCCGTCCGCAGGACACAAGGGAGATAACGCCACACTGAAAGCATTAAAACAAGTATACACGTTCGCCCCCACAACCGGGAAAAGAGAGTCCAGGACCGGAACTCTTGCCCGCAAACTGATGCCCAGGTGGACTGAACCCCACCTGATAACAGACAAAATGTCTCCAGTTGTCTACCAGATCTAAATCAGCAAAGGCCAAAAAGAGCCAATGGTTAAATGGGTACACCGAAACCAGGTTAAACTACACAAGGCGTTCAATAACTCCACAGGAGACAAAGATCTCACAAACTCAGACCTCGTGGGAAAAAGGGTCGTCTAAGCAACAACGAAATAAGTCCAAGCTTGATTAAGTGTTAAGATAACTCAGACGCGATAACGTGATCGAATCTGACAATCAGAGTGAGTGGTGCATTGAAACGTTGTTTTCTAGTTGCTTAATCACTACTTTTGTCGATGTTGAAACGTTGTTTTCTGGTTGCTTAATCACTTTTTTTGTCTATGTTGAAACATCGTTTATTTGGTTTTGGTATTGTTTCTGAACACCCCCAGCAAGAATGAATTTTGTGTGTACTTTAGTTAGAGACTATGAGGACTTTAACTATGCCAACATGCAGTTCATTTGTTAAACTTCAACCTTTGAGGAGTCAATGTAGATTAATGCTACCTTAAGTGCCATAACCTACATTGGTCTCACGACGCTCAAGCCAACCATACTCGAACAATCATATTGGGGGGGGGGGGGGGTGCTAGCTAATCCTTCAGTTGAGTCTCGCCATAGACTCCAAAAACATTTAGGGGGAAACCAAAAAACCAAACCTCAAGTCGTTCATCTAAAGGGACAACAGACAATTGAACCAAACTATATTTTGCCATGTAAATCTAACTTAAACCAAGTTAGGAATGGAAAAATAGTTTGGAATGCCCTTCTATAGGTATAAATTCCTATATATATAATTTTTCAGCATGACCCACCCTTTAATTGGTAACTGTAGCTGATCTAAACCATGATAGCTTACACACCAGGTGCATATAAGTTAAGGTCTCATGTAAAATCCCACTCATAAGCCCAACTAAAACCACATAAATGCATGAACACATAGAACCAGAATGGCATCCACTGGGAACCACCAGCAGCAACCCTCGCTGAAGGGACCATTCACAGGGAGAATGAAGTGCCTTGTTTTAAAACTCAGCAGACAGTAAATAACTTCAACTGGCATCTGCGTTTGTCTCACTTCGTCATAACATTCCTCTGTCTGTACTAACCATTCGTAAACATTCCTGCTGTCTTTTTGACATCTAGTGACCCTCTTGACATCACTAGAACCACCCCCCTGCTGGCTGTTTCAACCAATCAGGAAGTACCAAGTGACAGGAAGTGAGTACTCTTTAAAAAGTCAACACTTCCTGGGACTATTGAATCTTCTTTCAGTCTTCTTTCAGTCTTCCTCTATGAAGTCTTCCCAGGAGTCTTCCACTTTTGAGTGGAATTTCTGACTGGAGTCTTACTGACAGGTCCTAAGGAACTTTCAGATTTAATCAATAGCTGATGGATTTGACTGTGAGACAAGGGTCCATCCATCCCAGCGGAGTCACAGTGCCTTGCTGTGAACTCACCCGGGCGTAACTCCCTACAACTTCGAAGGAAGCTTGTTCTGTTGAACTGAGTAAATTGTCACGACTTCGAACAATGACCAGCCACCCTGACCGGAGACGCTGAAAGGTAGCGTGCAAAGGGACCTCTGTACCGGAGCTGATCCATCCACTACAAAGGTAAAGAGACGTCACGAGTTGTCACACACTAAGTGGACCGGAGGTTGAGCTGGGGTTGAAAGAAGAGTGCTAATTCTGGTCAACAAACATACATCTTCATTCATCCATCTTCCTTTTAAATCTATTTCTTCTCTTTAACTTCTATTCGCCAGTAATCTAGATGCCTTCAGAGGTGAGTCAGCCTCAATCAGTAATGTTCTGTTGTCTTGTTAGTAAAGCTTGCCAAGTTTATTGATTAGAAACAGATCAGCAAATCAATGTGTACATGTTTTCATGTTAACTTTTGATTCTGTTAAATAAATGACCACATTTATTCTGATGGGTCAAAGATAAAATGGTGTCTCATGTCACTGATTAAACAATCCACTCACAGTTATCTCGGTCACATGGCATAAACTCGAAAAAAAAAGAATCCATTGTAATTAACAATTAATATTCTTTGTGCTTGAACTAGCTTTAAGAATAATTAATTAGTAGTGTGTCTACGGCAAAGCTGTCCTGACATCACTACACCTGGTTCTACTGGAGGTTTCTTCTTGTTTAAAGGGCGTTTTTCCTTTCCAGTCTCCTTTGTGCTTGTTCAGGATGGAGACTGTGAAGAAGTGAAGATTCGATACAATCTGCTGCTTCGCTAGATAGATAGATTTTACTAACTGGCTTTTATAATGCATGTGAATGTTTTTGTATAGTGTCCCAAGACAACTTCTGCTGAGCCTTGGGGCAATAGAAATAAATTGAACTGAATTTAATTTAATTAAAATGTGAAAATCTTCTATTTTGACAAAGACAGACTGAGGTCATCTAAGAATGAGAAAAATTGGCTGAGGTTGGTACTAGAAGAGTAGCAAGTAAAAAGTAGATGGTGATCATGGAAAAAAAGTGGAGTGACCAGGCAGGTGTGTTATAGGCAGAGCTAATTTCTCCTAGGTGGTAGGCAGGATGGAATCTCAGGAATTCCAGTTTTACTTGGATGGGTTGGTGACAGAGCAAAGGTGGAACAAGAATAACAGAACTGGAGTATCAGCAGGATAAAATGCACATGGGGTAGCCAGGAGATTCTTAAGATTATCATGTATTGATTAACAAACTGACAAAAAAATGTCTCAGCTCTTTGCTGAACAGCTAAGTTGAGCTGTCTGTGAAAAAAGCCACCCAGAACAAACACCAGTCAACATACATCAGTCAGTCAACAAACACCAGACAACAATTATCAAAGAATCATCTATCAACAAGTCAAAGCATAAAATACATCACCCAACCAGTTAAAAAGCTACAAATATCATCAGCCTTCAATAACATCATCAGCCTTCAATAACCATCAATCAACACGCAGTAACTAAACATCAGCCAACCAAACTGCAATTGTCTGCCAACACTCAATATTGGACAAACATCAGCTAAATGTTTAACTCAACAATTTCTAACCTTCCTGCTGACTTGAGTGTCAATGAATACGATGTCATCCAAAGTCAGAATCAGTTTGGTGATGTTTGAAGATCTTTTGTACTTCCTGTTGAGAAAAAAAATCCAGTTTTGAAAAGATTGACAAAGTGAATAAACTGAAAATTGTTTTATTTGTTTTATCTAGGCTTAACAAAACTTCAAACTAACTGACATCAAATTAATTTAGAAAAAAAACTACATTTTCTAGCAACAAGGTTTATACCTAGTCAAATTGATTCCAACTACAGTATATGGTTCTATTTCATAAAGGCTCAGTCCTTTAAGGCTACTGCTAGTGGGGTTTTTTTCATTCAACCTTTATCATTCAACCTTTATTTAGACAGGTTAACCCACTGAGCCTCGAGGACTCATTTACAAGAGAGACCTGATTTCAACAAAGAGTGATGACAACAATGGACAACAGTGACAACAGTAGACAATTATAAAAAGGTATACAGATTTTTTTTATTTTTTTTTACAATTAAGATGGCAAAAAAGTAACAAAAACAGCTAGATTACAAGGCCTTTATATTATAAGTATAAGTATATACATATATATTATAAGGTTTACTGAGTGGCTGTGGCTGAGTGGTTAGAGCAATCATTCTTCAATGCAAGAGTTGGGAATTCGAATCCACCAGCAGTCACATGCCGAAGTGTCCCTGGGCAAGACAATGAACCCCTCATTGTCTCCGATGTGTATCCCATCGGTATATGAATGTGATAAAGCACTGATTATTCTCTTTAGAATGATTTGTTCAATTAGCTTTGTAGAGGTCTAGAGTGCTGTATGAATGGGTAAATGAGGCACAGATTGTTGTAAAGTTCTTGGAGTGTCTTGATAAGATAGAAAAGCGCTATATAAGTACAGTCCATTTACCATTTACCCCCGTGCACTGCACTGAAAACTTTAGTCCCTGCCATGTGGGCCCACCCCTGTTCTGTATAAATTGACTTAAGATCAGGGATCGACTCCCCTTTTTTCTTCAGCCAGCAATCAGCATAAGAAAACTCAAGAGCAGAAAATGATGTCCAGCTGAGTCATTCACCTGTGTTCAACCTTCAGGATGGGGTACATCCTCAGCTCCAACCTGCATGCCATCTGTGAAGGCTGCCTCGGAGCAGAACATGCAAGTCATGCCCTGATACTGAAGGCTTCCTGCCCGTCCTGAAAGCTTCTCTCGCTCGAGGAGAAACAATGCCGGGTGGCCATCTTCTCTTTAGGTGAGGAACTGTTCCAGCTTCCAGCAAGCTATCCGCTAGACAAGGCCCTCGAATCTTTTGACACGAGGCAAGATTAGGATGTCTCCACCTCTGATGAGGAGTCAGCTAGCAGCCTTGCTCCCCCTCTCAGAAAAGAGGGCTGGAGACAGAAAAGGCTTCGACAGGTGGTTTGTCAGGCATCCGATGTCAGTGGCCATCCCCCCCCCACCGATTTTTTTTAAAAATAATCTAGATTCTTAGTCCTGGCGATTCTGAATCGTTTCTAAAAGTCCATACATCAATTTTAAAATGCATTTAAGTTTTATATTTTTTCTGCTCTTACTCCCCGCCCGGCCGCCGTAGAATTTTGGCCATGTAGGCCACCGTACAGCAAGCTAGTTAGCCAGCTACTTTTATCTGAATGGAGCCTGCTAGCATGGAGGACAGTGTGATTCAACCCGCCTCTTCGTCTTTAAAAATAATTTCAGATCCTACAAAGTTCCAGGGGAAGACAGAGCTTAACAAGAGCACGGTTGTTTGCAAGAAGTGTAAAATAAAATTGTGATACAGTATTTTGGAAATACGACAAAATGCACGGAAGATGAAAGCGAAGCAGTCGATCAGCGAACTCTGTAACAAACTTCCAGCGATTCTCCAAATGCTGTGAATATTTCCCTCTCCATCTCTTGCTATATCACAAAGGATTTATGAGCAGACAGCTCAGTGGAAGGTGAGGGGTTTAGGTTTATTTTTAATACGATGGATCCAATATACGTTATTCCTTCATGTAGGTTTTTTTGTTTTTTTTGCGATAAAGCAGCACCACAATTTCACCATGAAACAACAGATGGGAGAAGCATTGATGCAGCTGCAGCTCAAAAGTAACTGTTATTTCTCATATTATACTAAAACTTATAGACAAGTTGTACAACAAACTTTATGTAATTTGTCTTTTTAACAGGATGGAGAGGACAGATAAGACACATCTCCTGGAGCCAGTGCTAAATGATACAGTTTATGGTTTATAAATTACAGTTCAGAAGAGATTTTTGTGCAAACTTGCACAGGTTTTGAAATTTTGTTAAATATTTACTAAATATGAATCAATATGGTTAAGACTGGGAAGTCTGTATATTTCATATTAGGTTAAGTTTTGCAAATATAGCAAAGGTTAGAGCAATATGGTTGAAAATAACTGAAGTCTGTATTTTATTTTTAGTTAAAGGTTACTATACTATGTATGGTGGTCTGAAGCCTGTTTACTTTTGTATTTATATATTTTGAATCATTTGTTTGTGATGGACTTTAGACCTGTCCAGGTGCCCCCCACCTCTCACACAGTGACTGCTGATATGGGCACCAGTGACACCCGTGACTCAAAAAGGAAGACGTGGATAAAGATGATGGATGGAAGAATTATTTGTTTTTTAGATTTTTTTTTTAGAAAAATTCAGGCAACTAAGCTAACCTAATACTGGTAACTTAAGTTACAGAATTTTATGCACTCCTATATTTTTCCTATTTTTGGTATAAATATAAAATGAATAAAAAATATTTGATACAGTAAAGAACCTAAAATGATTGTTTTAAATAAATGTTCTATTTGTTTACATTGTTGTTGTTTAATCTTTTCAGCTTGTCAGTTACATATACATTATAATTGAAACTAAATTTATGACCATTTCAATAGAAAAATCGTTTCAGAATCGAAAATCGTTTCCGAATTGGAAAATCAAATTTGAATCGTATCGTGACACCAAAAATCGGAATTGAATCGAATCGCCAGACACAGAGATTTGCACTCCTACTGATTAGTGGTGTTCTTAAGGCTACACAGCTGTTCAGTCCCAATTCCTTGAGTTCCCTTTGGACTGTGTGTGTGGAAATGCTCTTTCTTTTACTATCCAGATGCATGCTCAATAATCCAGGTAGAAAAATCAAAAATAGTTCAATCTGGTCCTCTGGACATTCAAAAAAAAAAAAAAATTGTAGAACAACTTCGTATTTCATCCGAAAGACATCCTCAGTCAGAGGTGCTGTATTCAGCTCAGTCTTATAAATAGCACCCTCTCGCAGTGGATCAACCAGTTTGCTACTGACAGCCAAAAACCAGCTGCTCACATAATCAAGGAGGACCATCAGCCTAACAATGGATCATTAGCACACTGATGGCTGTTTGCTATTCACAGGAGGCTGAGTGATACTAGCAATAACATCATTGTAAGAGGGGGACAGTTGAACACGGAGGCTCCACCCCTGTTTAATGATGGATGGTTTCTTTTCACAAAGATGGCCTCCTTTACTCCTGTCTCAAACATCGTTTCTCTAACAAAGCTCTCCAACCTGCTTGTTCTCATGGCAGCAGGATTGACAAACTGATGCAGAGATTATGCCCCTCTATGTTGCTCATCGCGTATCAAGTGCACGGACTCAGTAGTGTGCAATTACGCTCGAACCAAAGGTTCAACACGTTCATTAATATAAGCAGATATCTGTGTAATAGTGGTTCCGGACAGAACCAGAGAGGCATAGAATACATCCTGCTTCGCCTTTTTCCTACTAACGATAGCCTTAAAGGACGAAGCCTATACAAAATAGAATGCTGGTTATGTACTTTAACCCCAGATTATACGAGTATAGGTGCAGCCCTTTAAGATCTGGGCTTCATTGGCTCCTAAATGGCTGAAGAAAAATACTATTTGGAAGCCAATTCCCAGTCTCTGGGCAATTTATACAAACCGGGGGTGTGGCCCATACAGCAAGTGGGCGTGGACTAAAGTTTTCAGTGCTGCTCTGTGTGCGGGGGTAAACCCATTAGCAAAGGTCTTAAAGGGCTGCGTCTATACTCATAGAATCTGGAGTTACAGTATGTAACCAATGTTCTCTAGGCCAGTGGTTATCAAACTGGAGACCCTGGACCCCAGGGGTCCATGAGTCAGTGCTTGGGGGTCTGCCAATTTTTTTTTTCTGTACAAGCATGTAGATGTTTAAAAACCCATTAAAATACACCAAAATGCAGGAAAGCACATTTACTTTATTCAAAATTTCCAGACAAACCCCCGCCCCCTTTCATTTTAAGGTCTAAAACAGGTCAAGTGCAGAGGTAAATATTAAAGGGTTTAATTTAGTGCAGGATTCATTTTATTAGCCTTTGTGTAGAAAGGGGAGGAGTTGAAAAGTTTGATAGCAAAAGGGAAGAAAGACTTCCTGTTACTTGGTATGACTACTGCTGTTACGATTCTGTTCAGTTTTATGTAAAGCATTTTCTGTAATATCTGAAGAAGCGGCAATACTTTTATTATGTTCATTATTATGTGAACAGGAAAAGTTTTAAAGTAGTTTTTTATATTGGTAATTTTCTCAAAAATGTAATTTTTGCAAGTTGAAATTGAAATTTTTGTTAAGTAAGTGTGTCTCGAATGAAAAATACCCATCCATCCATCCATCCATTTTCTTTACCCGCTAATTCCACTTTGGGTCACGGGGGTCGCTGGTGCCCATGTCCAGCAATCACTGTGCGAGGGGCGGGGTACACCCTGGACGGGTCGCAAGTCCATCACAGGGACACATAGAGACAAACAACCATTCACTCTCTCACTCACACCTAGGGACAATTTAGAGTTACCAATCAGCCTAACATGCATGTTTTTGGTCTGTGGGAGGAAACCGGAGCACCCGGAGAAAACCCACGCATGCACGGAGAGAACATGCAAACTCCACCCAGAAAGGCCCCTGGACCGGGGTTTGAACCAGGGACCTGCTCGCTGAGAGGCAGCAGCTCTACCAGTTGCGCCACCGTGCTGCCCTGAAAAATACCCCACGTTTAAAAATATAAAAATTGTATTAACAATAAGAACAGGTCTTATGTGTTTATTTTACACAAATATTTCCATTGCATTAAAGAGACAAATTGAAGAAATGTTTTTAATAAACATGAGGGTTACGAGGGGGTCCCTGAAACTTTTTCTCCCCTGCAAGGGGTCCCTGAACCAAAAAAGTTTGAAAATCCCTGCTCTAGGCAAGTCAAAAAGTGTATGTGTGTGTGTGTGTGTGTGTGTGTGTGTGTGTGTGTGTGTGTGTGTGTACCTGATCCAAAAGGAAAAAGCTGCAATCACACCACAAAGTACCAAGAAGATGAAAAATATTTTCAAAGCATCTACGCCTGCAAAAGAAAACAAATTCAGAACTATAACAGCTTTAGCACATCTGAGGTAAAAGCTACATCTGGGTCAGAACATCTGCAATTCCAACAAAACCAATGTACAAAAATCTAAGATTTTTGCTGAGTGAACATACCTCTGCTGCAAGTCTCTTCTGGACTGAACCAACAGAAACTGGCCTTGGAGGGCTTTCCTCCGGGAAAGAAAAAGGAACGGCTCAGTGGTCTAAGACCTCCAACTGTCCCATCAGTGTGCTTTGGTGCCAGTGAGTGTGTTGGGACCAGGCGGTCACCCTCACTGTCCAACACCACATATCTGGCCTGAAGGCCACGTCCACCTCTTCCTCCATAAAGCACCTGATAATGATAGCAGAAACCTTTTAGTTTTTGTTGTTGCAGTCAACTTGAAACAGAGGAAAAGAAAAAAGAAAAAACTAAGGAAACAGAGGAGAAGAACAGAGGAAAATTCTAACAGCAGTCATTAATATTTGCCTTATTTAAATATTATTTACATGTAGCTGTCAGCTCATTTGAGGCACAGCATTAATTTTGATCAGGCAGATAGTAGGGAGATGTGCTGAATTCAGCGCTGGCAGGCGTTTGTTTTTGCTGGCCGGGGTCCTGTGTTTGTACGACCAAAACCACAAACAAGCAGTAGAAGATGGAAATTGGAGAGATGGAGGTAACAAACCAATTGTTTTAGATGTAGCCTATAAAACTTAATAAGTTGCATGATTCCACTTTTGCTTTATTTCAGGCTTTCAAGAGGTTTTACTGCTGTAAACAAAATAAATTTTGTTTAAGGGGCAGAAATGTTCTTTTGACTGTGAATGTTGCCAATCCCCAATTTCTAACCATAGTTAAAGCTAACAAATAGCTTATTTTAGCCAAGAACAAATACCCAACTATCTTGTTTATGCCATGCTTCTTACTAAATAAACATAAAAGAGCTGGTCGGTAGAATCATGTTTGTTTTTACTTTTGCTAGCTTTGTCTAAATATATTTTTCCTTCTGTGAGTTTTAAAATTGTGTTAATGAAAGTGGCACTAAAACACTAAAATATAACAATGAAAACAGCTTATCTAAATGTGATAATAGAATAATTTTTGATATTTATTAAAAACTTTATGTGCAGAACTATTCATTAAAACAATAACTTGAACAATATTCTGATTTTAATGCCCTGAAACAATGCAAATATGAAAAAAAATACGTCATGTCAGATTTATTCATGCTTTTATGTGATTTAGTTTTTGCGTGTGTGTGGTTTTTGTGTGTCTGCATTCATTCAGCACTGCAGTGATTGTGGTTCTGCAATGGAGTTAATCTCAAAGCAGTCTGCTCCTCAGATAAATAATGTTAAATTAAATTTTTTAAATATGAACGTTTCTGTTAACTTATTACGATATATATGAATGTTTCTGTTCAGTGCCCTGAGATGACTTCTGTTGTGACTTGGTGCTTTGTAAATAAAATGAATTTAATTACTGTATATTTTGTTCAGTATAAAAAGAGGAATCGAAGCTCACCTGTTTACAGAGAAAACCAATCAACAGAACCTCAAAAAGTGAGTTGGATTCCCACTTAAAACTATAAATTTTTAATTTCTTATATTTCTTTATGCAGACACCATGGATACTTTACGTCACATTTAAATGTAATAATTTATTGAAAGGTCTATTTTTATTTTAACACGTAATAATATCATATTTTGTGTAATTAAAACCTTTCCCCTGTAACTGGGCAGCCTCAGCTCAGACAGACTGGTGATCCTTTGTCTCCGTCGAGCGAACACATCCAGATGTTTCTGCCAGGGAAAACTCAGATAAAGCGCTGACCTTTGTCGATCGGGGAACAACTACGTGCAAGAAAAGTTCTGGCCTGGTCCTACATGTATGTTCATGAAACCTTACAAATGCACAGAAATGCATTTGAAGTTTTCTGCATCCTGACAAAGATTATTTTCTTCACTTGTGATCTCAGGAGACTTGGAGAAAGAGAAGAGGAGGCTTCAGAACATCTTGGCAACAGGCAGAGTCCACACTTGAACCTCTTAAGAAAACTGCAGGTCGTGGACCATAAGCATCAGAGGAGGTCGATCGCCATCAGGATGGTGAGGCTGACGCCACAGAGACAGTGGAAAACCTTGGTGTTAACAAAATAACCAGTAACCAGAGAAAATAGTTTTCAATTCAATTCAGTTTATTTATATAGCGCCAAATCACAACAAAGTTGTCTCAGGGCACTTTACAGGAACATTCACATACATAAAAGTCAATTAGTAAAGTTCTCTATCTAAGGAATCTCTCTATCAAGTCAGAACAGAAGTCGTTTCAGGGCACTGAAAATAAACATTCATATTTACAAAAAGTAGGTTAACAAAGTTATTTATCTGCGAAGCAGACTGGGAGTGGTGGCGCAGAGGTTAGAAAAGTTGGGTCTGTGATTGGAAGATCGCCGGTTCAACTCTTGTTACGGACAACATCAAAATGTGGGTGGGATAGGTGAAGCAGCCACACACTTGCCTCCAACCTCATTTTCTCCACACAAGGCCCTTGAACCCTTAACCCCTACCCTGATGCATGCTCAATAATCCAGGAAGAAAAATCTAAAAAAGATAAATCTGGTCCTCTGGACATTCAAAAAAAAAAAACAAAGCAAAAAAAAAAAAATGTAGAAACGTTTCGTCTTTCATCCAAAAGACTTCCTCAGTCTGAGGTGCTGTATTCAGCTCAGTCTTATAAATAGCACCTTCTCAGAGTGGATCAACCAGTTTTGCTGCTGACAACCAAAACCAGCTGCTCACATGATAAAGAAGGACCATCAGCCTAACAATGGATCATTAGCACACTGATGGCTGTTTACTATTCACAGGAGGCTGAGTGATACTAGCAATCACAGCATTGTAAGAGGCGGACAGGTGAACACGGAGGCTCCGCCCCTGTTTAATGATGGACGGTTTCTTTTCACAAAGATGGCCTCCTTTACTCCTCTCTCAAACCATCGTTCCTCTCTGTCCAGGATGTGAACATCTTCATCCCTCAAAAAGTGACCGCTGGCCTGAAGATGAGTGTAGACCGCAGAGTCCTGGCCTGATGATGTTGATCTTCTGTGCTGGGCCATCCTTTTGGCCAGTGGCTGTTTAGTTTCCCCGATGTAAGACTGATCACAGCCCTCCTGACACTGAACAGCATACACAACATTGCTCTGTTTGTGCCGGGGGAGTGGATCTTTGGGATGAATCAGTCTTTGCCGTAATGTATTTTGGGGTTTAAAAGTGTAGTGAACTAAGCCTCAGGTCAAAATCTGACCCTGAGGACCTTCATGGGACAGAAACTGTTATTTCATTGATTTGAGTCCAGAAATACAAATTAAGCTCATCCAGAGACTTTCTAAGTGTGTCCTGCACTAATCAATTGAAAGAACACTCTCTTTTTTATATTATCATTACTATTTTACAATATCTTGATAATCAAAGTGTGTTTAGTTCAAACCATTTTAAATGTTGAAGTGAACTACTCATTTTAAATCAACTGTGAAACAGTATTAATGATTTTTTTTAATCCTCATTCAAAGTAGAAATCAAGTTAATGTCTGTTACAGAGTAATCATGCATTTTTTGATCTTCTGTCTGAAATGAGAAGGAGTGATGTCGGTCAAAAATCGGAGACAGTTGCAAACAAGTTTATTGGAACGAACTGTCATGTTTTTAAAACCTCTCAGACAGAAACAGAGGAGCTAGCACCTGTTTCCTCCCATTTCGCCAAAACATTTCTCTGGCTGTTCCAAAAACATCTCACTGTTTTTCTGACTTGTAGTAACCTCTTACGTCACTAAAACCACACCCCTGTTGTTTCTTTCAACCAATCAGGATTTCCCAAAAGGGGACCGGAAGCGAACTCTTTAAAAAGTCAACACTTCCTAGTTCCAGTCAGTTCAAAGTTCCAAGACAGTTCAAAGTTCTGGGGTAGAACAGAAGTTCTGGGAGCAGAACCGAACGAAAGTTCTGAAGTGCTGGAGTTAGTTGGGAGTTCTTTCGAGTCTCTTGGGGATTATGGAATCTTCCACATCTGAGTGGAACTCTGACGGACTCACAGCTCATGTGAGTCCACCCGGGAGGTGAGCGTGCTGTTGAACGAAGTACCGTCACTACTCCGGACGTTTCTCTGCTATCCTACGGAGACGCTGAAATGGTAACGTTGAAAGAGAACGCTACACCGAAGCTGAGATATCTTCTGCAAGGTAAAGAGTCGATTTCCACTACCGAAGTGTACCGAGGTAGAGCTGGGTTCGAATGGAGGGTGTCGTTCTTCGTCAACACATTTTCCCTCACACATCTTTTCTCTCCATTTAAACTCCTTCAATCCCCATCTTTAAACCTCTTCTATCTGCCAGTAATTAATCCAGATATTTTCAGAAATGTCAGTTGTTTTAAGTTGCAAGTGAGAAATCATGGCCGTATGATTTCTCATTGCAAAGCTCATTAATTAAGCTGTGTTAATTGTAATCAATCTGCCAATTAATGTAAATGTGTGATGTGTTTTTAAATCGTTTAAAATAAACGACCCACTGTTGTTGGTGAGTCAGAAACTTAAACACGTCTCTGTCCACATTTACTCCACAAAGCACAATATGACCTAGTCCAGAAAAATGAAAAAATCTGTTTAAATAAAGGATAATATCAGACGCATATTATCTCATTACAAAAGCCACTGGGACGTTGTGTTTAGAAAATAAACGTCTCAGTTTCTCTGATACTCCCTCAACATACGGAATGACCACTGGTCTGGGTTTCTCCTTTTCACTTGATGGCTGACTGGAGTCCTGTTTGGGTTTCTTCTCTGCTTTCAGGAAGGCCCAGTTAGGATATCCACATTGCTCTAGAGCCTGTCTTGTATGGGATTTCTCCTTCTGCCTGGCTCCTGAGTTATGCCCCTTTTCAATTATGCCCCTTTTCCACCGTCACGGCGCGGGTCGGATATTTCCGGGTTGAAGCGCGTTTGAGGTCTTTCCACTGTTCCAGAAACCGGCTCGCCTCGCTAAATTCTGGCCCGGCTTCTCAAGGGTTCCGAGCGAGCCGCGCCGTGACGTCAGAAACACTGTTGGTCACTGATTGGTCGGGGGGAGGAGTCTGTGGAGTCTTTCCAAACAACCCGATCCACCATTTTTTCTCTACCGCTTGCCATTAGCGATAACACGAGGAGCATATCTTTTAGTATTTTGAAGCTATACAACAACAATAATATCAAAGCCGTGGTCAAATGCAGAAGTGCAGGTGTTGTTGTGCTTGGTGGCCGACGAAAAAAGTCTAAGCGAGCTAGATGGAGCGATTGGAGGGTGGTTTGGACACGACTAC